GATCTTTCCTACCAGAAGATCAGGGGTGTGGCAGAAAGACAGCAGTTAGGAGGAGCCAAGGAGTAGCAGTACAAAGGCTGCAGAAAGAGTCAGGAGCCCAGAGGAGGAGGCAAAGGAGGTGAGGGGCAGAAAGTGGAAATGAAAGCAGACAACAGAACATTGTTAGAGAACAGGAAAGGATGTGAAAGGAGACAATTTTAGAGAAGAAATTTTTTTGATCGCTACCCGGAATCGAACCCCGGGACCTTTGAATGAGAGGCCAACACCTTAACCTCTGACTCTAGGCCACGAGAGCCCCCTTTGTGTATGTGTGTAAGTGTGTGTGTGTGTCTGTGTGTGTATTTGATTTCACGTGTGCCTGTGCGTGTGTGTGTGTGTGTGTGTGTATGTGTGTGTGTGTGTGTGTGTGTTTGTGCTGTGTATGTATGTTTGTGCCCATGATACTGATACTTTCATCCATTTGGAGAAACACTTGCAAGGACAATCGTGTGTTCTTTTTATTTAAATGTATTTCAGAGTATGAACTGGTGGTTTTAATTCTAAAACTTCACGCTGTTTCTGTTACCCGGTGTGTCATGTGTGAGAGATAAACAATACAAACAAACAAACAAACAGACATATATCGGGAGGATAAGGGTAAGGGGGTGAGGGGTCGGGAGTAGAGTAGAATGGTGATCGGGGTCGCGAAGGGGAGGGGGGCGCGGAGGGGTTGGGATGGGTGGGGGAGGGAATATGAGGGAAGTAGATGTGAGGGTATACATGTATCTCCTCCCCCCCCCTCCTCTCTCTCTCTCTCTCTCTCTCTCTCTCTCTCTCTCTCAACGGAAATCAACCCAAGAAAAAACGTACTATTACGGCAACTTATAACAAGATTAATGCAACACAGGAATTCCCCTTTACTCAGAGAGCTCGTGACAGTCTCGGTTGGGATCCAGAATCTTGCGCATGATATCAGTAAAAACCTCTCGGGGATCAGCAAGAGCATACATGTACTTACCACTCCAACCCCCCCCCCCCCTAATATTTACGATAATGTATTTTAAGTCAACATGTTTTGCGATAATAATACATGTAATAAGAAGAATAAGAATAAGAAATTGAAAACTGTCCAGCTAAATAAGTTTGAAAAAGTAACGCCCTACCAGCATTGAATAAAAGAAAGAAAAAAAAAACACACTCAACAACAACAACAGCAACGACAACGATGACGACGACAACAACAACGACGACCATAACAACAACAACAAAAACTTTGTTATTTCTAACATAGAAATCCGTAAAATCCGTACTTATTATAACATTCCTATTTTGAAGGTCTTAATCACGAAGAAATGAGTTAACAGTTGTCAACTTCCTTTCTCGGCTACATACATTGCAACAGTCTGTATCACGCCTTTGTAATACTTCGACTACATGACAAGTTCGGCGAAAGACGGATGTACGTGGCATATTACGCAGATGCTGCAATAAGGGAAGGCATTGCGACATCTGAATGC